GCCACTTTTCAAACAACGTGACTACGTGGAGCCTCGGTAACAGCTTAGCGGTCAGTGGTCAAATGGTTTCCAGTTGTAGTGCAGCCATAACCAATTCGCAACTCGTTGTCGCAATATTGTGTTCGAGAGTTTCAGAGCACGTGCCTACGCGGTTGCAGCAGTGTTGAAGAATTGTAAATAATTTAGGGTTACCCTAGGTATCTATCATGAAGCCGCCGTTCCACGGCCAACTCTAATGTGGCAACTTTCTTTGTTGCATCGTCCACCTGACCTCCCCTTTTGCCTCTTCCACAGCCCCAGTAGCATTCTGAGGTCTGACCCCCTCACCTCGCATTGCTCTAGCACATCCAGGCACACAGGTAATCCTCATCAGTAAGCCGTAGAGTAACGGAAACAAAAGAAAGCCTGAATTCAGAGTCCCCTTTTAGTGTGCCCAAGGAGTTCAAACTCCAGCCATGCTCATAAAGTACACACTACCTAGTATACAGCCAATAACGCGCCGCCCAAGATTATGACTCCAACCCGTAGAAACCTCCGCCGCCAACTTCCGATTCGCTTCTTAAAAAGCCATAGCCTTCTTGATCTCGGCAATGGCCTTGCCGGGGTTGAGACCCTTGGGGCAGGCACGTGTGCAGTTGAGAATGGTGTGGCAACGGTACAGGCTCATGGAGTTGTCGAGGGCGGCCTTACGCTCAGCCTTGCGCTCGTCACGGGAGTCGGCCAGCCAGCGGTAGGATTGAAGGAGGATGGCGGGTCCGAGGTACTCCTCAGAGTTCCACCAGTACGAGGGGCAGGAAGTCGAGCAGCAGGCGCAGAGAATGCACTCGTAGAGACCAGACAGCTTCTTTCGGTCGGCGACGCTCTGGCGGTACTCCTTGCCCTACGAAGGGTTAGCGTAAACCTTTCAAGTGAGTGGTGGCAATTTCAGCGTACATCAGGGGCAGGAGTGTCTCTCTGCAGGTAGGGCTTGATTGAGCGGTATTGCTTGTAGAACTGCGTCAAGTCGGGAACGAGGTCCTTGACGACGTAGGTGTGAGGCAGAGGGTAGACCTTGACGTCTGACGCGCTCTCGGTAGGAATACGGCCTGGACTTTGGTTAGCCATGCTTTCACATCTTCCGGGTCGAAGGCGATGGCAGAGTCGAGCTTCTGCCCCCGCCCTCAAGGGGGACACGTACAAAGGCAAGCCAGAGTGTTCTGTCCGTTGATGTTCATGGCACAGCTACCGCAGATACCCTCTCTGCAACTCCTACGGAAGGTAAGAGTGGGGTCGATCTCGTTCTTGATGCGGATCAGAGCGTCCAGCATCATGGGTCCCGTCTTGTTCAGGTCCAAAGTGTACTCCTGCATGCGAGGCTTCTCGGTCGGCGTGTCGGGGTTCCAGCGGTAGATGGTGAACTTCTTCATCTTGGGCTCCTTGACCGCGGGCGCATCCGTAGGGGTGGCAAGGCCACGGCGAGGGATCGTGACGATAGGGCGGAAAGCGGCCTTCGTGGCCGTTCCAAGGACTCGAGAGGAAGAGCGGAGAGCTGCCATCGTGGCGGTTGTTTTCGGGAACGATTGATCGCGAGGATACAGTCAAAAACAACTTGTTGAAACTCCAAGAGATGTTTGAGCAGTTGCAGGTGTGCTGCGGGGCGTTGGTGGTTGGAGGAGTTGGCCGGATCACCGTAATATTATCCTATGGGAGGCGTTTGGGCGAAATCAAACATCATAGAAGATTTGGCTGCTGGTTCCGACTTCGAATACCCGAGGGCCAGCGGGACAACCAGCCAATCATGTGCACGCTGATAATAAGCCCAAGTTCTCCACAGCTGACCAGGATCGGGTGAATGTGAAGAAGGACTCGGGCATTCCGTGCTGCCGTCGGTGCACGTGACGCGGTGCGGGAATATGGCGGAGGTGTCATCCCTGCCAAATCCGGGGTGCGCTTTTTCATATGACATCAAATCGGTGGCTGTTGCACCCATCGCGTCGCAAGTGTCCAATTGTGCTCGTGCGCGTCGAGGAAGCTCCAGTCTTTCCATATGAAATCCTAAGCTGACAGCGTTGTTGAGCCCGCAGCGAGGTGACTTTGCGTCGTTGTCTGTCGCCTTCAAACTTGACGCGGGGATAGTTAACATGCGGACTGCGGAAGCACCGCAAACGCATCTCCAAGAAACACGACACGTCGCTGCACATTGGAAGCAATGGCCGCAGCGGTGATCGCTTTGCGCCAGCCCCTGGTCCAGCTCTCTCATACTAAGCCTTTGACCAAGGGTAATTTCTTCTGACAATGCGATATCTGTTGAGGACAAGAAGCTGATTGCATCACAGCCTGCACCTCGTTGTATCCGACGTATCTGTTGCGTCGGCAACGGACCCCTCCATCGCCACTATCCCAGCGCTACATCTCGACGACAAGAAACATGAGCTCCGATTCGACAGCATCCAAGCTCTCCTACCACGTCGCAGCCTCTTTCACTGGCAAAGACCGACCGTACGATCCCTCGACACATATTTTCCATTTCAACCCATACAATCGGATCCAACTGAATCGCAGCAAGCGATCGAGGCCAGACAGCGGTCATGACGCCTTCTTCGTCAGCAGGGTAGGCGAATCCGGTTCGGTAGCTCTGGGCGTCGCCGATGGTGTCGGCGGCTGGGTCGATTCTGGTGTCGATCCTGCAGACTTCTCGCACGGCTTCTGTGACTACATGGCCTCGTCAGCCTATGGCCACGATGCGATCAAAAACGATTCGACAAAAGGCAGTGGCGATAAGGACCCATTGCGGGCGCAGGCTCTGATGCAGACCGGGTACCAGGCGATATGTGAAGACAAGACGGTTCCCGCTGGAGGAAGTACGGCATGCGTTGCTGTCGCCTCTCCGGATGGAAACCTCGATGTTGCGAACCTGGGCGACTCGGGCTTCATCCAGCTCCGTCTGAACGCCGTACACACCTACTCCGAGCCTCAAACGCACGCCTTCAACACCCCTTACCAGCTTTCCATCGTGCCCCCGGCCGTGGCAGCACGCATGGCTGCTTTTGGTGGCGCCAACCTCTGCGACTTCCCCGCCGACGCCGACGTTACCCAGCACGCCCTCCGACACGGGGACATAGTGGTCTTTGCGACTGACGGTGTCTGGGACAACCTCTTTAACCAGGACATCCTTCGCATTGTGAGCAACGTCATGACGACGACGGGTGCCTGGTTTGACAGCAAGAACGGCGTGCGTGTCGTCGACAACCTCAAGCCCTTTACGAAGCCCTCAGAGGATGCCTCCGTACGACCACCTTCAAAGTTCTTGACGCTGCAAAGCGTTCTGGCGGCAGAGATTACCGCGGCAGCTAAGTCGGCTAGCCTCAACCGCAAGCACGACGGTCCTTTCGCCAAGGGCGTCCAGAAGTACTTCCCCCAGGAGAACTGGCATGGCGGCAAGATTGACGACATCTGCGTCGTCGTGCTTATTGCGTCGGACGACGCCAAGGTCAAGAGCCGTCTTTAAGGCCACTTTGAGAAGTTAGCTCTGGTTTGGCGCGGCGAAATTTCCGAATTGTATTATTATCTAAAGACACAAAGCATGCCGCCGGGATGGGCTTCCGTTTTCTTGTTTTCTCAAGCTACTAAAAATATAGACATCGGAAAGGAGGCGCTCCCGCTGCATTCAAGCCTGGGACCATCGTCTCTTTTCCGTCCAGTGCTTCGCAAAACCAGATATCCATCGTGTACAAAGAAGCAACAAGCCCCTTGAAACTAAGCAACAACCATTCAAGCTTGTTATATCACTACACATCACCCGTTGAAAGCCCCGAATCTTGCTTTGGGCCCTGTAGACAAGATCGGACCATTCAGAATACGAAGATGACAGCATATACAAGATTGCAGCTGGCAGACGGACAAACCGGTCCATGACGATGATGGGACCAACGATGCGATTGAGCCGAATTGATCGCATTGACTCCATCGACAGATAAAGACTATGGACAACGTCAAATGGATGAAGCAAGACATATTCAGCACATTCTCAAACCACGCGTCAGAACACACACGTTAGAACAAGGCCAGAAATCCCAGCATCTCGTTCCCTTCCCGGACGTCTCACGTTGACAACCGCCCCAATCCTTTCCATCACAGCCTCGATTTCTCCACCGAACAAACTACACATTTTGGCTCATCCGATCAACCAACCAGTATCCGTAGAACCTGTTTTTTACGTCTGTGTATGTGTGGTGGGAATCCTCTCCTGCTGATCGGCACGAGGCGAAACCGACGTTGGTTCGTTGCTTCCTTCTTCTGCCTTCCCCACGGCGGACGGCCGATTCCTTTTTTGGCCGCAAAGGGGTCCACGTCAGCGTCAGCCTCTCCACGTGGAGGGTCGAACAAACTGGTCTCTTGTTCTTTATTTTCTGGAGACCTCTACGATTCGTTTGTTTCGTGGATGAGTTTAAATGCAAAGACTGGCGAGATCTTGATGGCCGTGTTAGTGTGATTTCCTGAATGATCCCTCGGACGCAGATGCGCCCCGGACTACAGTGTACCCTGCATGCCTGCGCCCGATTGACCCGCATGCAGCGTCGCACAGGAAGCACTGACAGAATGTCACGTCGCTCGAGGACAAACGGCCAGGTCATGCATGTCGCTTGAATAGGCAATGCAAGCACGGAGGATATGAGGGGTCTGCCGGTGTACAACCGAGATGTCAGATGGTCACGAGCGAACAGGCCACAGGTTGGTCTGGCGAATTAGTGAGTGGTAAGAGGCAACAATGCATCTGATTGCTGTAATTGACTATGCTTGTGTGTACAGACCCAGTTGAATACAATACACAGAAGTGGTACGCCGTCCGTTGTCATCGTCTTCATCGAGTCCAGCTACTCAATTAAGCTAGACCCCATATGCAACGCCTCATCCTGATTGTTCCTGGATCGCATTACTATATATTAAACCGTTTTGTTCCCATCATATACCAGTCAAGTGACCCATGACTGTCCCTTTTCGTCCTCGTCAAACACACACGCTTACTGGAAGTAGAGCATGGCGGCGACGGTGAGGCCGATGAGGGCAATGGGAGAGCCGAGGCGGACAGAGTCGCTGCCAGGGACAGTGGTGGGGGAGGTGGTGGCACCAGTAGTGGAGGAGACGCCTGCTCGCTTGTTAGTGAATCTCGTTATGAAGAGAACCAGGATAGAGACATACGAGTGCTGGCGCGGGTGCTGGTGGAAACAGTAGAAGCGATGGTGGAGTTGGCGGCAGAGGAGACGGTGGCAGCAGTCTCAGAGGCGGTAGAAGAGGCGGCGGAGGTGACGGTGACGGTAGCGGAGGCAGAAGCAGACGCAGAGGCGGAAGCAGAAGCAGAGGCCGAAGCGGAAGCGGAAGCAGCAGTGGAGCTGGCACCGGTGGCAGTGGCCGCGCCGGAGGCACCGGAGATCTGGAACTGACCAGAGTAGTTGGTCTCACTGCCGTCGGTGATCTCGATGGCGTAGGTGTCAGCGGGGAGGCTGGCAGAAGGGGTCCAGGTGAAGGAGTTGCCAGTAGCACCAGCTGCATTCATGTCAGTCATCTTGATACTGTGAGTAGACCATACCAGGTCGAAGCAGCGGGCTTACTGGTGATGGCGGCGACGGTCTTCAGGTCGGTGCTGGCGCCGTTCTTCAGGTTGAGGGTGACGGCACCGGTGGCACCGGACCAGGTGATGGTGAAGGGCTGGCCGGCGGTGATGGCGAAGTCGCTGTTGGTAAGCTGGACAGCCTGGGCGACAGCGGCGAAGGCGGCGACGAGAGTAGCGGAGAAGGTCTTCATTGTGACGGATTGGGTTGTTTTTTTGTGAAGATTAAAGTTGGTGAACGAGTGTAGAGGTTGGTGTATTAGGTATCGTACTACTGTAAAGGTCGCAAAAAAAGGTCAACAACGAATGTCGGGAAGGCTCGTGAGGAAACAAGAGAGGAAAATGGATATCAGCTCGAGGGGGGGCCCAGGAGTAGAAAAAGGCTTCTGGCTTCCCCGTGTCGAAGGAGCGAAATTAGGCGAAGACAGAGATCCAGGGGTAGAGCATGGAAGGGGGGGGGGGTGTGCGGGTGTGCGGGTTCTGGCGGAGGCATGCGACTTACATCAGTAGCGGTACCTGGGATGGTGGTAGCAGACGGAGCTTTTCCTGGATATTGCTCGAGGGTTGAAGTTGGAATTCCGGGGGTGTGGACGCGCGATGGGTGGTAATATTGCGTGGGTTGATGTTTGTCTGTGTTGTGTGTACGGACAGATTTGTTTGTGTGTTGAGTCTGGGTCTGGTGATGGAGACGGGTGGAATGGAGGATCATCAAGCGCGGGACTGAGAGGAGCGCAAGGTGAGTTTAATAACGGAAGGACGAATGGCGTGAGGTGAGGTGAGGGACGGGAGGCGAGCACGCGAGACAGGAGCTACGCTCAGTCGAGGCTTGCTTGTTTGGCGGCGTTTCGACGATGAAGGGCGATGGAATCACAACAAAAGCCATCTCACACAGTAACCGCGCTGCGCGGAAGGCGAACCACGGCGCGGGCACCACGGCCACGGCTCCCACCTGGCGCCTGCCTCCAGCCTCTCCCAAGCCCGTGATTTACGCAGGCGCAGTACAATGCCATTCTACCTTACCTCCATGGCAGCAGCAGCAGCAGCCAGCAGGCGTCCAGTCGGCGCAGCGCAATTCGTCGCAAATGAGGAAGCAGCGATGATTTCCTGGGAGGGTGTAAACCTGCAAGTACTCCGTACCTCTCCTCTCCTCTCCAACCGTCCGTCCTTCCTTCCTTCGCACCAGTCCTAGCAACCCCAGCAACAGGGGCGCGGCGCTAAGCTTAATCAGGGTTGGGGCAGAAAATTCTTGGACGGGGACCCCTGTCGCATAGATGAACATGGCGAACCCGAGGCCACACGCTAACGAGCACCAAGCTTCAGGTTTCTGTGGTGCGCCGTCTCTTTCTTTCGCTGCTGCTTTCAACAGCACGCTTCTCTCCCGCCAGACGATGCTGTACCTGTTACAGCTTGCGACTTTAGGTTGTCTTCCTAGCTGCTTACCAGAACCTACCTTAAAGCTGAGCTGTCTGATGAGGCGTTAGCTGGCCTGGAACAGCTGGGAGGGCAACCACTCCGCCCGCGCGTACGTTATGCGCCGTCGCCCGAACTGTTAGGTACCTTAGTTGCCGACAACACACCTCCAATTTTTTTTCCAACGACCGTCGTCGACCGCGAAGCTCGCTCAACGTCCCCCCTCTCTTACCCTTGTGCCCCGGAGTCGCCCGAGCGCCCCTATTGGTCTTTTGAGCTGGGGTCTCTGGGAGAACCCTTCCATCCATTCAGCTGGGGCGAGCAGCGGCCCTGGTCGACCGTCCAGCGTGACAACGTCGCGTCCACCTCCAGCATCCGCAATGGCACAATCCAGTGGGCAAATGGTCCATCTCACCTCAGTCCACCGCAAGTGACACCCGCTGCAACTGGGCCAAAGAAGACTCAGGGAGTCAAGAGATGCCCCAAGACCTGATTTGCGCCAGTCTCTGACTCTCGCCCATGCTCTGGTGCCCGCTTTTCTCGTTCTGGCCCGATGACGAGGGGGTCCTGGGGAGGTTCCTGTCGATCTGGGTCTTTCGAGGCGCAGCAAGGGAGGGGACAAGACTCATTTTCATTTTCAGCGCCGACAGCTACATCTCTCGCCCGAAAGATGGCGCGCGCGCCATCACCAGCCCAGAGGAGGAGGTACCTTCTGTGTGTCTCCCCCAAGCGCCTTCTTCTGTTCGCCGCCCATGGGAATGTGAGCATATTACCATCTCAGCCTGCTGCTGTTGGCGCTGCTGTTATGCTCGCTGACGCCCGGCCAACTCAGCCTGCAATTGCGTGCGCAGCCAACAGCGTCCATCCCTCCACCCTCCTTTCCATCTCGTGTTCTATCTCAAGAGGCAAAAACTCTACTTGCCGCGGACCAGTCGCCGTTCGTCGTCAATCCGATGGTTGCTGCAGGCTGACCTTGACAGCTCCAGGCTCCCCCACCACGCCTAATGGAGGTGACGACGCCTTCCGCTGCGCTGGTATTTCCAAGCATCCGAACATCAAAAAAAGGCGAATGCCAGCGACACCTTATTTCCTCACCCTCAACCCTGATGTGCTAGGACCCAGCCCGCGGCTACGCGGCGGCGACACTTACGTCGTCACCCTCACCGACGACCCAGCCTGCTATGTTTCCCCTTCTCACCGTCAGTCCATTGACTTCTAGCGCAAAGTCATTTAGATCCTGGCAACTTTGTCTGTCTGTTTGTTTCCGCCCCATAGAAGCATTGACGCGCAGGGCTTGAGACAACAGGTCAGCTGCCGCGGACGTAGCAAGTTGCTTCTCTCCATGCTTCGATCCTGCGAATATGGATGGCCTGACGCACCTGTGAAAGGTGAGTTACTGCTCGGCCGTCGCCATCAACGATAGTCTGGCGCACATCATGCTGGAACGGGACACTCTTTCACCGATCATGACGGTGACAACCAGTGGCCTGTCCTCCCCAATCGACGGTACTGACCTGACAGGTATCGCCTGATGAGGATCTACCGAGGGGGCGCCGGAGAAGATTCTGCTCTTCGCCTGCACCCGCTTGAGCCGTGCCGCGCATTCCATCCGGCCCCTCTCTCCAGAACTCTCGCTCCCACGGCACGGTATGCGATACATGCACGCATATTGCACATATTGGCTGGTGTAGACGGATATAGCACATAGCACTGCAACATCATATCGCACAAGCGCAGCCAATCTCGCTCTCAATCGGCGAACGGGGGCGCAATCCATCGGTTGTGCAATGAGATGCAATGGAACGACGTCAGGGCCTGGCCGCTGCCCAATTGCGATTCCAAGATGCCAATATCTGAGTGAGAGAGAAAAAAGGACCAATTTCAATGCGCCCCGTTGGAGACCCATTGTGGAGACCAACATTGGACAAATCTCCCCAGCATGCGCGCTATTTCGCGGCTTGCACGGTACCTGCATTTTTGCGCCACGGGCCCTGTGCCTGGCCTCCAATCGACGGACTCGGACACTAACAGCTCCCGGTTCACCCACAATTCCCCCTCCGTAAGGTACCCTGCTCTAGCCGATTCGTCTATTCTCCATAACGTCCCCTTGTGAGCATCCACCTGGAAGTCCCCCGCGCGGCCGACAACGGAACGCCATCTGATGGCTCGAGTGTCGTCCGAACGATTCGATATATCGGTCATTAACCACTTCGTTTGTCATGAAGATGCAACTTCGCGAGCAACTATCGGTGAATACTTTTGTTGGATCCCAGCATCCAGCATGTAGCGATGTCCTCGCCTTCAGCAGAGTTTCAAGCCGAGGGGGTAGCAGCTCCGTGACAGGCTTGGCCCTCTGTGCTCCCAACTCATTCACATGCAGCTTTCCGCCATCAACGCCAGTGACAGCTTGTGGTAAGTTACTCTTGGCCGGACGAAAAAGGACAAGCGAAGCCTGGTTCTGCCTCATGGAGCGTTTCAACATGACACCATGCTGGAATGGATATTCCTCCGAATCACCCCCAAAATTTGCAGCCCCGACTTGGGTGACGTACAAGGCCGCGATCCGGTGCCACGGACGGGAATGCCGGTACTGGAATTGGCGATGTGATGCGATTCGATTCGGTACCACGCCGTGGCTGCTGCAGATGCAGGACAAGAGAAAGCCAGGCTGACGAACATTCTGCAACGCCACAGCCGCGCCCATCAATCAGGCTTGACGTTTCACGTGCCCAACATTCATCGACAGGTCTTGGTTCATGCCACAGGTCCCGCATCTTACGACACTGTCTGGGACGATGGATGCCTTCCGAAAGGGTTCACAGCTACAGCCCGAGACCCTTCGCCCTGCCAGCTGCCAGCACCTCATGGAGAGTTTCCTTGTCTCCCCTAGAATGCTCAACAACGGCAAGGACCTCTTCCCAATTCGCGCCGGTGCGCCAGAGCATTCGTGGACTCCCAAGACACGGGTTCGACAAGGCAGCCAATCAAGCACGGCATCGTCCCGGCGGTGGCAAACAAATACCACAAGCAGATGAGCGTCACCCGACAGCTTGGACTGGAACGATGGATCTATTAACCGGAAGAACTCAGCGTGCAGCGCACGACTCCACGCCGGACACCTTCCGTCTCCTCTGCGATCTGAGTCACCGTCGCGCCCTTCCCTCTGGCCTTGTCCACAAAGTCGTCGAGTGAACCCCCGACGCCGAAGTACAGCCTCTTGGCTCCCACCAGCGCCTGTGACTGACAGCCGCTGCCTCCCCGCTCCGCCTTCTCCTTGCTAAGAATAGCATAGACCATCTCATTAAATGCCTCCAGGGCGAACGGGGAGTATATTGTCTCGGCCCCAATGAGCAGGGTATCAAAGTCTTTGTTGATGGTGTCACTGTCGTGAGTCTCCTGGTCCAGCTTGGACTGGCTCTCGTACAGTAGGTCGATCAGCTCCTGTGACCAACCGCCGGAAATGAAGTTGAGAGAGATGTGTGAAGACGCAAGGAAGTCTTGGAACTGCTGCAGCACCTCAGGCGTGAGCTCCAGCTCGTCCTCCAGCGCGAACGCCTCCTGCACGGCCGGGCTCTGGTCCCTCCGTTCCAGGGCCCACGCAAGAATGAAGTTGGGCAGCGTCACCAGCTGCAGCACCGAGGGGTTGTAGTCGGCGAGCGTAAGCAGCAGCGGCGACCTCTCCGTCGCGTACCTCATGGCCCACTGCAGGATCGCCAGAGATGGCAGCGCCGTGCCGCAACCAAGCTGTGCCATTAATCACATTAGCCCCTTTCTCGTCGTCATC